GTTTCCTATTGCAGTCTTATTTTCTACAGAAGGATCACAAAAGTATAAATAATCATTAGACACAGGAAATAGAAAAAATACCGAGGAGAAGCTTGAAATTTGAAATGATCCGACTGATATTGAATATTTGAAATAATTTTTGGCCCCGGTGTAGGCGGAATGTTTGTCAGGATGTAATTAATACTTATATGAGCGATAGGTTTTGTATTTCCTGTATGTAATGATTATTTATATTTTTGTATTCCTTCTGTAGTAAATATGATTGTTAGAGAAAACTGTTTTCCTTGCATTGTATTCTTATTATTTTATAATAAATGTATATCAGTATAAGAAATCGTAAAAAATAAATTTTTTTATTAAGAAATTTGATTTACAATTACTTATTTACAATGTTTTCAGAGGCAACAAATTAATACAAAACAAAAAATAGATTGAAGAAAAAAAATTCAACGAGAGACGAGAATCGAACCCCGGACCTTCAGAATATGAACTAGAAAAGCTAAGAATATATATAAACACCTCCGAAAATTGTAGAGGGTCAGTTCCTTTTCCGCCGATACATAAGACATTATTGTATTTTTTGACATAGTTCCGCTGTAGAATTAGTATTACAAGTATAACCTTTTCGAAGTATATTAAAAGACATTAATCGGTCTACGACCTTCTTCATCCAGGTCCCAACAATATTATAATAGAACGTCGATTATCCGATTTAATTGTCGAACATTCGAATATTCGTTCAAATAATCGATTGTTAAGATAATCAAACTATGAGAAGCAAATTATCAGTTATTATACGTGTCATAAATCAACTAGGAATTAAACAATTTTTAAAAAAGACGGTTTTTCTTTGTACGAAAGAATACTTATCTAATAAAAGAAACAGAGGACAACAAATAAATTATATTGTTGATTCTCTCTAGCATAGTTATTTGTACAGCACCTATTCCTTTTCCGTGTTCTATTCATTAGAATTCAGTATCTAATCATTTTCAGTTTCAATATGTATCGAAGTAGTTGTCACGATAGCCGGACCTGAAGCAGTTTCGTAACAGGAGGCGACCAGTACCCCTAACTTTTCCAAGAGTTAAAATAGTATCTATTAAAAAACGGCAATTTCTTATTGTACACTGATAATTCAAAACCGATGTATGCGAAGTTAAATTACGCGCTAATAGAAATACGGAGAATAAGAATGAAGTACACGATACGTATTCGTATCGTGTATCTCACGATAGAAAGCATCATTTGTTTTATTCTTAGGAGACTTTAATTTTATAATACGACTTGTCTTACAATGGGGACTGTTGGGTCATGTGTCGTATTTGGATGATCGGCATACCTGGGTAGTTGGTGTCAGTGATAAGGTGTCAGATGACGTGATCGTTTGCGTCAAGCATCTCTGTAAAATGATATTACTATTTCTTATAATTTAATACGTTGAATTATCGTTATCCGTGTTCATTTATAACTATCTAGTTTTTAAATTCAGGTATGTTATGCGATTTTATACTTACCTGTGTCACCTCCTCGTTAGTTTATACGGAACTCACCGTGATTCGGACAATCGATCATTCGTATAATCAAAATTCACATAATCGATATTCGAATATTTAATGTTCTATTGAACCATTCTACACGACCGAGACACGAGGCACACTGTTAAAACTATGAAAAATTGAAAATATTTTTTATTCTTCAATTACAGCATCAATGTCCCGATTTAAACTTTGATGAGACTCTGTAGCAATTGTTAACGCTGCAACTACCAAAGAGATCAAAAAGATTTATTTCAGATATTTTATTTTTACAATTTCTCAGAGCATATGATCAAATTTATGCTTACCTTCATTTAGATCGAAATATAATCGTTTATGGTGTACATGGTGTACATTATGAAACATACTAGTTATTCATCTCCTTCGTACCGTTATAATTGTTCTCATTTGTGTAAAATATACCTAGCTACTCATTATAGGTCGGTAGTTCTAGTGTAAAAGAAACGAGTGTTTTCGACTCTCTAAAAAGGTTTCTAGACTTCAATTTTCTAGTCTACATAAAAAGAAAATAAACAAATATTTGAGTATACTGTTATTAGGAAAACCTTTTAATTTATCGTATTATTATTATTTTTTATACAAGTATAAAAAAATTTAGATAACAGGGACTGTCATTGGTTTGATTATGCTCCTCATTCTATATACAATGTTCACCACGCATTTTATATTATCGTTATAACTTTCTCATAAAACATTGTGGATGTTTTGCTATATGACATTTTAGTTTTACTTTTACCCACAAAATTAACCGATGAAATTTATACAAAAATACCCAAAACACCCTGTATATTTACGTACTGTTCTTGCAAAGGAAGAACTAACGTTCAGCTTCGAAGGATATTCATTTTGTGCACTTTTTGTTGTAAAAGAACAAGCGGGTTTCGAGATATGATAAGTCAGAGCTATTGCGCTACATTCAGACGGAATATTCCCGAGAAAAAAAAATATTTGCCATACTCGTCGTCAAAAATTGTATAGAGAATAATAACGACATAATGCAAACTAAATTTGCATTAGTTAAGCGAGGATTATCACGACTATTAGCGTGCAAATATATATATACACATAAAATATATAATATAGAAGTCCATTCAACAGCTTGATCTGTGGTTTGCCTCAGTAAATACGTTCCGTTGAATTTCATATAGGTTTCAATTTCGTTTATATAAAAATCTCTCGTGACGTGTAAAATTTTAAGATTCAGAAAATGACCAAAAACGATAAAACAAAATCGTGTTCGTAATATATTAAGAATAAGTTTAACAATATACGAAAGTATTTTAAATAGTCGCAAAAAATGGTAGAATGAATAAACGATTGAAAAATAAATTTAATTTAAAATCTCGATGTAGAAAAAAAAAGAAAATTTTGTAATGTATAAAAATTGTGGAATTTTAAAGAATTTATATAAAATTGAAAACTTCGTATCACATGACAAAAGAAAAAAAATAGGTCTAAACAGATTGCGGCATGATATCGATACAAATCGCCAGGCATGATCGTTAATTACCAAAAGAGATACTAATAGCATATCTGTACTTACTGTAATAATGAAACAAATAGAGATACGTCTAGAGAAAATTACTACTATATATATTTATTAGTCTCAGCGTTACAGCCAGGTGATGAACTTGATTTACAACTATATTTACCTTAGCTTAATACTATCATTCACGCTTCACCACACTCTTATCTCTACGTACCTCGCATCTCACATAGGGTATACATCTTCAGTGACCATTTTATCCATCGGCAACAGTGCTCTGTTGGTAGATATACTAATTACCGTACCTTGAATTGTAAATATCTCTAGCCATAACTGTAGTATACATTGATTATTCTAGAATTCCTTTAGAACTGAAATCAGCAGTGAGTAACGTTATTTAACCGTTACAATAATGTGATGACGGCTGTACTCAGTACTGTGTTGTCAATAGTTAATATCTCGAGGGAAAATGGATCTGCATTTCCCGTTCTAGAACTGCTGTGGAATACACATCTCTTACCTCACATACGCTCTAACAGCTACATATTATTTAGTGCCCCCCTTTCTTTTCTATTCCTCTTATTTTCCTATCTACATTCCTTAGCCATTTTTCTACCTTCTCGTTTCCTCTTTCTTCCAACACTTCTTCAATTGAAATTTCCCCTTCCTTTGCTTTGTCACAGCTTTCTATCATATGTTTTAATGTGCTCTTCGCTCTGTTACATAAAATGCACCTTCTTTGTTCTTCTGCTAACCAATATCTATTGTTCCTTTCGAAGTTCCCGCATCTCGCCCTTGCATGAAGTTTGACTATTACCACTTCCTGCTTTATTTAAATATTCCGAGCGCTTTAACGTGACCATGTATTTGTAATATATATTATACCTGGACTCTCTAATCTTATTATATTACAACTGTCCTTGTAATTCTCTATCTTTTTTCTTAATTAAGTCTATTATATCCCTAGCTCTTTCTTCTAATATTGCCACTCGTAACCGACTTAGATCATATCTTTGGTAAAATTTTTCTTTATCTTTCCAGCTACTAGTTTGGTATCTGCCACTCTCCTTTTCTTTTAAACATTCCTCGGTTAATAACCTTCCACACGAGTTCTTTATCCCTGCTTCAAATTTTAGTGCCCTAATTCCTGCCCTATTTGCTACCCTGTCCCTTCTTATTTCCTCTAATACCATGTAGTTCGGAGTGCTCCTTTCTAGGCCTAAATACCATTTTACGTAACGTGTCTGCACTACCTCTAAACTATTTAGGTTTTTCCACCCAAAAATTTCCCCTCCATATAACATTACGCTCGCCACCAGGATATCGAACATATACATCTCTTATTGAATTTGTCCCTAAATTTTCTTTCACCAATTCCCTATATTTATCTCATAATTACATTAGCCTTCTCTACTCGTTCCTTTATGTGTCTTGACACTCCTCCGTTTTCCTGCAGTTTAAACCACAAATATGTAAACTCCTTCACCGTTTCAATCCTCTCATCTTTGCATTTCCACTCTTGTTTCTTTTTCCTACTCCGTCCTTTCCTAAATATCATTAATTTTGATTTATTTACGTTAAGTTCCATCTTTTTCTTATCTAGCTACTTTTCTAGTCTCTTCGTTGAAAGTCTCGTATCCTCTTCATTGTTAGTTACTGTTACCATATTATCTGCGTATGCTAGCGTATAAAATTTTTCTTTTCCTACTGTTACTCTTCCAACTTGCTCTTTCCTCATTTCTTCTTCTAGGTCTGACACATACAGATTGAACAGGGTCGGACTCAGTTCACATCCATGTGGTAGCCCATTCTTCGTCCAGAATTCTTCCGAGGATTCTCCTCCACATCTTATTATGTTTATCGTTTCCTCGTACACCTCCTTAATTCTTTCAATCATAGCTTTACTTATTCCATTCTTTTCCATAACTTTCCAAAGAATACTTCTGTTTACTTTGTCAAATGCCGCTTTTAAATCTATAAAAAACGCTACAATCCCTCCCCCGCCCCTTCTTTTCTAATTCCCTTTCCACTATATGTTGAAGGATAAAGATGTCCAATACCCCTCTTTGTTTCCGAAATCCTGCCTGTGTTTCACTTAATATCTCAATCTTTTCTATTTCCTTTCCTAGTCTCTCGTTTAATATTGCTGCATAAATTTTATAGGCTCCATTCAGTATCGATATCCCTCTGTAATTTTGCACCACACCCTCATCTCCCTTCTTGTATGTAGGCATAATAATTGCTCTTTTCCATTCTTTTGGTATTCCTTCACCGTTCCAAATTTTTCTTACCAACTCTTTAAACTTCGATCTTGAATTCCTTGCACTGTATATCCAAGCTTCCCCCGGTACACGATCGCTACCTACTGCTTTCTTTTTCTTCATTATTCTAATATCATTTTCAATCTCTTCCTCTTTCAAACAATCTTCCCCTTCCCCTTCTCCTCCCACGTAGTTTCTACCTTCGCTCCGCATCACCTCTTTAAATCCATTCAGTAAATTCATAAAATGCTGTTCCCATGCCTCCATCTTTATACTCTCTCCCCACCTCTGTCGCGTCATCCTTTCTCTATTTACGTATTTCCAAATTTGGACCTCCGTTTTAATCTTTCTTATCTCTTCCATTTCTTGTTGCTTTACTTTCTCTCGCTTCTCATTACACGTTTCCCGGAATCGTTTCTTCTCCTCTATGTATTCTTCTCTTGCAATCTTCCCTCTTTTCCATTTTGTATATTTACTTTTTACCTGTCTTTTTGCTTTTTTACATTGTTTATCCCACCATTTAAAATATCCTATCCTCTTATCACTCCATCTGATCTCCCTTGTTCTTACGCTCGCTTTTATTCTGCTTATTAATTCCTCCCAAGTATGTTCTGTATTCCCGTCTGACAGTTCCCATTTGCTAAATTTCTTAAGATAATCTTCCACATTTTCCTTCTCCCAGCATATAATATTTTTTATTTCCTCTTTCTCTTTTTGTATTCCCCGGTTCTTCACACCCTTCCAGGCTAGACATAGTGGTTGATGATCTGACTACGTTCTATTTTCTATTACGAATTTCTCCACCTCTTTCAAACTCTCTGTATTTAGCAATACATAATCTATTACCGTAGCTCCTTTACTTTCATTGAAAGTAAATTCTCCACTTTCATCACCTTTTATGCTTCCATTAACGATATGTCAACCCCTATCTTCCGCTAATTGCAGCAAACACTCTCCTTGCTTGTTCTTAAGTTCGACCTTGGATTTTTGTTCCTCTATCTCTTCTTTACCGTTAACATTATTAGTGCCCACATACGATTGTTCTTCTTTCCCAATCCTTGCATCAAAGTCTCCCCCTATTACCAATTTGCTATCCTCTCCTTCATCTTTTACTATCCTTATTTCTCTTTCAATATTTTCCATTTCTCTGTTACAATATACAGTCCATGCATTCCACGCCTCTTCATTTATCATTAACTTTCTTCCCACTACTCCTTCCTCTTCTATCACCTTCACCGTCCGTTTCCGTCAATATACCCCCCCCCCCCTCTCTCTTCCTTTTATTTTATCCTTTCTCGCTTACTGATGTCTCCATATGTATTCTTTCGGTAACCTTCCTCTCATCTTATTTCAACTCTTCTCTGCCACCCATGTTTCCACAATTCCTACAAAGTCAAAACCCTGTACATGACTCCGGAAGTCTGTGTCCTTCCCTGTCATCCCTGCAACGTTCCAGAATAGCATTTTACCTCCTGTCTTTCTCCAATTATTCCTTCTTCCTTTTTCATCTTCTTCTCCTGGCTCTGATTTAATAATTTGGATTTGTTTCTTTCTTGTTTTCCAACTCCTCCATACTCCATCCATTTTAATCCTTTGATATCCTACCTTTGCTTCCCTGCCCTTTTTTTCTCTCTACTTTCGCTATCTGTCTCAATCTCTGTTGTATTCCCCTTCCTTTCCTGATTAAGTCTTGTTCAATGAATATATTTGTACTCCTCGTTATATCTTGTTTTTGCTTCCAACTTTCGCATTTTGCAATTAATCTCTTTTTCCTCTTTTCCCACCTCCTTCATCCATTCAAAGTTCACCCGTACTTTCAAATGTTGCCGCAATAAATCAGGCACCTCTTGGACCAAATTTTGCGATTCTTTCTTGAAACCTTTGATGACAATGTTGTTCATTCTTTCTTTCCTTTCCTGTGCTTCCATCAATTTCTTCAACCCCATCATTTCCTTCTCTAACACTCTTACCTGTTCATTTCCCCTATTTTCCTCCATGCTCTTCTGTAACTCCGTCACCTTTTTCTGTATACCCCTTAAATTATTTTCTTCCGCCCCGGCACACGGGTTCTCCATTCTTTCCTCCAGTCGCTTAAATCTTTCGTCAATTTCCTTCTTCTCCTTGTCCCATTCACTTTTCATTATTTCTATCTTTACTTTGATTAACTTTAGCTCCTCCCTTGTTTCTTCTCCCGCTTTCGTTGTTTCTCCTTTCGTGCCCCTTACCTCCTTCATAATCTCTATTAGCATTTCATAAATATCTTCCTTACTTTCTCCTTTTTCATCTTCGATCGCATTTTCTGTATCTTTACCCGCATTCTCAGGTTCTTTGTTTTCTATTCTTTTCGCAACGCTACTTTCCGCCATCAACGGTAATATTTAAGTATATTGGAAAAAGTAGCACGAATTCTCTATAGTATTACACAATAATAGTATCGCACTAAGTTCTCTCAGCACGTGGACACTGTAAGCCGTTGCGAGTAAGACTGTATTTAACGTATTGCATTCGAGAAAAATCACGTCACTCCTAATCGTCCTATTGTCCGGATTGGTGGTGTTTCGTCCGAATCTTCTTATCGACCGTATGAAGAATTCAGGCGAAGGCTTACGTCGTTCTAAGAACGTAAACTATTTTTGAAGGTTTAAATATAATTTAATTTCAATATATCTACAGCAATTTACAATATGTCTTAGCGATGTGCGTTCTACCGTGGTGTCGTTTGTGTTGTTTTGATGTTTGTACTGTCTGTCTTCTTGGTGTCGTGTATTTTTATATGTTCGTCTGTCGCTGTCATTGGCTATCGAGATGTCTAAGTGGTGGGTGTGCTTTTTCTCCTATTGGCGGCGTGTTCGTTGGAGGGATGTGCGGGAGGCTCGGAACTGGTAGGTGGAAGTGGAAGTTTAAACAAATTGTTAATTTGTTTAGGTTTGGGAAATTTTAATTCTTTTATGGGGGTTGCTCGGAGGTCG